CATTTGGCTGTGTGCAACTCAATAAATGGAGGTTGTTATTCCTCTTCATGCTAAGCTGTGAAAATGCATCAAAAAGCATTTGCTTCTTGTCTAAGCTCCTAATGCTGCTTTCCCCAAGCAACAAAGGGACTCTTCTTAGTAGGAGGGCAGCCTTAATCCCACTTGTGTGATAGCCTTAAATTCCCGAGGATCCTCTAGCTTTCCTTACCTGCAGACACAGCTTCTTTATTGTAGAAGTAGTAGGTGCACGGAGAGATGAGGAGGCTTGCTGCAGCCATGGTCAGTTCTGTGCACAGACAGAGGAGTTGATTGTTAAACCCAATTAAGTTCTGTCATGCCAAGTGCTAAATAGGGGAGAGTGTAATCTGATTTTTGTCATATGCCACCTGCTTGAATGAGAAGCCAAGCACTGCTGCTTTCCCACCAGCAGCAGTTTGTGTCAGGCTGTGAACTCTGGGGCACAGATGGACTTGTTGCAGATATTCAGTCTTTAGAATTAGAGAGTCCAGTTGGATTTTCTTCTCCTTGGCCCTTGCCAATGTGAAGATGTGGGATCACACTGGAAATCTGGATGCAGCATGTGTCTAAATCTTTCTATATGTTTCTTTGTTTTTTTTTTTTTGCAAGAGTCTTCTGATAAAGGAGTAGCAGAATGTCCCAGAAATCCTCTTTTATTAGCAAAAAGGCACCATTTCTGATTTGCATATGCTGAAGCTGCATATGTTGTTTGTGTCTCGGCAAGGGCAAGCAGCATTTAGGTCATTCAGTCAAAACCGCTTGCCTGTAGTGTGTAGAAGTCACTGCTCTATCATGAGGCCCTCTAACACAAAATGCCTTTTTTTTTTATCCCTCTTATTTTTAGCCTTGGTAATTGTTGCCTGCTTGCCTAATTGTCCTGTCAGGGTGAGTGGGTATGAATTTTTTATTGTCCATCTGTGTCCCCTGCATGATTTCCTGTATCTGTCAGGACTTGGGTGCATAGGTGACAGAGCACTCAGCTGTGCAGCCCCTGTTGGGGACCCTTGCAGTTAGGAAAGCTCACAGAACAAATAAGATTGGAAGAAAAGGATTAATGGACTCCTTTGTGGTGTTATTCCAAACGCATAATCCACCTCTCTTTTTCAGGCTCCAACCAAACAAATTGAAGCTGTTTAACAGCCCACGTACCAGAATTTCCTGTCCCTACAGAAAGCAAGCATCAGCCAGGAGGAATCTGGCATCTGAAAGATATTTTCACAGTATCTATCAGCGATGAAAATGGCCAGACCAGTAGGACTGGAGAGGCAAAGTCCTCTGTTGTAAATTTACTCTCTCGCCACTATTATCTTTTCTGGAATCTGAAAACACAATTGCCAAGGCCAAGTTAATTCAGATCTCAAAACCCCTGCCCTGAGACATGGTAGAGAATGGCTGGGTGTAGACTTCAGGCATTTAGCTGAGACCCTCCTCCTTCCTTTCCCATTGACTTTAGACAGCCTCCTAGGACTGTTGGTTTCTGTTGCTGTTTACCTGGGGCTGCCCTAAGACAGGTTATGTGAGAGGCAGACTCCATCTGTCCTGCCCAAGCCCCAGGTTTTGAATGAATAGACTGAGGAAACCAGTAAGTTGGCACTGGTTTAAATACTTTCTTTTCCCCTTCTCACAGCTGCAAAGACTGGGAAAGCATGACATTAAAGGTAGTCACGGGGAAGAAGCACACTCTAGATGGTAGATTTAGTCACCTTCGCTCCAGGGTTCCTAAACCTCCCAAGTTCACCATGCCCAGGGTCTTTGGTCCTTTTCCAGAAGTCGTGAGTAAACAGGTTTGTCAGTCGGAGCAATCTGACTACGATGTGGGAGGCTGCGCTTACACCGTACCCACCAGGCACGAGTCCTCCGGGCCATCTGCAGCCTGTGCTGCCCTCACTGGAGCACAGTATGTGAAATAGCTTTCTCTGGCTGCAGGACTTGACTACAAAGTTTGCTCTGAGAATTTGCCCAGAAACAAAGACAAGATTTGCCAAATAGGAAGTAGCTTTTATTTGCTTTGGGTAACTCCAACCCCACTTGCAGAAAAATCCATTATAAGGCACGCTCAGCTCCTCTACCCAAACCTCAGGAGCTTGTCCTAGTAGGAACAGCTGTAAGAAAAAGGGAAGAGCATAAGCTGTTGATTGAGCTAATTTCGTGGTAAAAAACCTGTCCTTGTGCTGTTGTGTCATATGTACTTTTGCCGCCCATAGGTGGATGGAGCTACAATTTCAAGCCCTGATGTAAAATACTGGTGGAGTGGTCTAACAACAGTGAGCCAGAAAGGGTAGGAGAGGATTGAATCATGTGGAGGATAAGGTGGGCTTAAAGCATACAAGGTAGATCGAAACTATCTGTGTTTCCTTCCTGATGATGAGGGAAGAGAATTCTGCCCAGGCTCTGTAACATTCTTTTTCCGTTAGTTTCAGCCAGTAACACAAAGATTACCATCCTTTTGTTTAGTCTTTTAGGAACAACATTTCTCCCCCTTTTAAAACCCTCGTCCCTTGCAAATTCTGCATAGGCTGAGAGAATAAAGCTGAACACTAGGTCACTTCTTTTACTGAGTTTGTTGTTTTCCCACAGCATGGCTAATTTGCATCCTATCGTGCTCAACCCTGGAGGTTTCTGTAACTCCCTCCAGGCTGGTAACTACATCAGTAAGCTGAGAAACACTAATTTCTCAGGATAGGTAGCTACCTGCAATGACATAGTTATCTTTTGATACCTGTTACCTCTCTGCGTTGCCTCTTCCCACACAAATAGTCCCTAGGGAATGACAGGGGAAGGTGTCAATCAGCATTAGAGTGATGCAGATCTGGCTTTTGGTGTAGGAACTTTAGGCTTTCTCTGGCATCTCTGTTGAGTGAACTTACTTCTCAGTAGTGTCTTGGGGAACATGTTAAGAGGTGAAGTGCTCTGATCCTGCTCTAAAAGAAGTCAATTTTAGTAGTGCTGGATCAGCTTAGCAGAAAAGAAAAAAGGAACTCCTTCACCTCAGCCTCATATACTTGTTGTATATTTGCTCATTAACATATAGTAATAAACCATGCACAGGATGCTTACTCTAATGTTCATTTACTGTAATTCATGGTCCTAGTGACTTAAAAGTACATAGTGTAATCAGTGGAGGGTCAAGTTAATGCGACTCGTTTATTAGTGATGCTGAAGAGACACCCTGACTCCTCTCCAATGGGGTCAGCTGCTGAACTGGGAAAGAGGCAGAGACAGACGTGGGAGGTTTAGTTACCTGTCACATTGCTAATACCAGTTTCTCACTGGAAATGTTTTCTTGTTTTAGACTTCTTGGCAATGCTCCCACACCTTCTCAAAATGCTGGCTCTACTGGCACTAAACCTTCAGCCTCTGCTTTTAACATACCTATGTCATGCAAGTTTCAAGGTGGTGCAGAAGATGATATGGATAGTAAGAAACCCAGCCCCAGTTCCTCTGCTAAGGAGGTATAAACATCTCTTCTTACATGGAAAAACCTATGTGAGTAAACACTCTGTGCAAGCTCCCTGGCTGTGTGTGGAGACTCTGCTATGCCTTAGCAGTGATTTTTGCAAAAACTTTGGTTAGCAGGACAGCTGTAGTATGCTAAAGATGGAGTGACATCTGTGAGCTTTCTTCACTACCAAACAGCAGATACCTAACTCGCTGGAAAGCAGGATCCCCATTAAATGAGAGCAGAATGCAGATGGGGTCCTGAACTTAACCTCGCTTGGCTTCCAAGTGAAGCTGTCTCTCTTCTGACACGTAATAGCCAAATCTTGAAACGTGTTAAGTATCTTAATTCCCTCTACCTTCTGCAGAAATTGAGTGCCTAAGTATCCCTTAGATTCTGTGCTTTGCTTCGTCCTGCCTGGCATGGATTTGAATCAACAACAAAGCAGAAAAAGAACTTTGCATCACGTGGTCAGTTGTCCTTGCTTTGCTACTTGACCTTTTAGCAGATGACTCTGGCATCCTTGCTTCCAACTGCTTGTTCTTGTCAAAATATTAATACAGGACATGTTACGTGGAGAGTAGGACTGGGGCATTTGGAAGACCTCAACAATTAATCTCCCTCACAGCCAGAAGGGGAGCAGTAGATTCATGCAGAAGGTTGGGTCAAAAATTTAGTGTTCTGATCTGGGCAAGATTCTGTTTTTTACTCCATAAATGGTTTAATATGGCTTATGTTACCACCCTGAGGATCAACAAAAAAATGGTTACCCAGTAGTGATGGATCTCCTGTTAGGAGTGTGGAAAATTACATCTATTAATAGCTTGAGATTACCTCCTGAGGGAGATGTATTGCACAGATTTAATTGTATTTCTCTCTTAATTCATCAGCTGTTAGTAATTACATCCTGCATTTTTGCAATGGAAAAAATGAATCTAAACTGGCTATTGAGACTGTACTTGAATAAATCATAGAAGGGAGAGGAAATTACAATGCAAATAGTATCAATCTTGTAAACAATTTTAATTCACTACTTAGCTATTCATTAATTAAATAACATCTTCCAAAAATGCATTCTGGAAAATGTAGCAGCCACACTGAAAGCACTGCTGGTCAGATTAGCTTAAAGTAACTCCTCTGGCTTCTCAACAATATGTAATTTTTAAAGGGTTCAGATAGTAAGCAGTTTAGCTTGTCAGCTGACAGTTCAGAGAAATGCTGACTTCCCCTCCTTGCTGGAAGATGTCAGCCTTATAGTCAGTGCTTTCAAATAATCTCTTACAAGAGCAGTATTCTTGTTCAGCTTCTACTTTGAACCTTTTTTTTTTTTTTAAATGACAACTGCAGTTCCTCTTGCCTCCTTTTCCTCTTTGCACACTCCACATTTGCCCACTAGTGGTTTTGGATCTTCCAGCAGATACCGTGGTTTTCCACGTCGCCATCCTGTGCTATAGCCTCAAGTTACTCAGCCAAAATCCCTGTTCCTCTTCTTCTCTGGGGACAATTATAAGAAAGGTATTTTGTTCTCCGATATGGTAGTCTGATTATACTGTCCCAGTGAATGGAAAAAAAAAAAGGCACTGTTTACAATGGCAAGGTAAGGCAGGGAAGTAGTTTTTTCATCATCATTTTTTCTGGTAAGTGGAGATGGTTTCAATGGAGAAAACTGGTCAGGATGACATGTGCGAGGCTTGCTGCCCTCTCCTGGTGTCATCAGGGGCCATGCATTCGATCTCACAGCTGCCTCAGATGGAAGTTTTCCCCTTTTGAGATGATGGGTCCTGCTGGAGTGGAGAGAAGAAGGTGCTTTATAGATGGAATTGATTATTTTAAACAGCAGTGTTTTGATTAGGATTAGCTGGACCAATTCAACTAGGCACAGCTTTTCAATTGTCATTTGCAAAGGCAACAGTGTTGACCAGGTTCCCTCAATCTGCAGATGATCCCCTCTGGTTTTCTGATGGTGACAAATGGATTGGAACTCAACACTGCCAAGTCTTCTGGCTACTCTTGCCCAATTTTCTGGGAGCATTAGCACTTAGTATGCTTTTTGTTTACGATCATGGGAAACAGTATCATGGCCCATCAGAGCATACCAGTTACAGCTGAAAATGTACAGCCATGTTTTGGTGCACATTGTGGGAATGTACTTTTAGCCAGCACATCTGTGTCTCAGCATTTGATGTGAACCCATCTTCTTATCCTGTAAGGTGGCTGACCAGGAAAGGTACTCACCTTGTAGAAATAACTTTACTCCTGGTAGCTACTGAAGCTCAGTTTGTTGGGTCATGTGCAACAATCAAAGGCAGCAGCTCTCCACAGCGGGAAGTCAGTTTTAAGGATGCAAAGTGATCTAACCTTGTGGGTCCAATGTTAAGGATCGCAATTGGCAGCTTCTTCTCCCGCGCAGCAAGAGCAAACCTGTAACCAGAGTATACCTGCAGGAATAGCAGAAGACAGAATTACTGGCAGCTTAGGAAAAAGAGGAGCTACAGAAAGCAGTAAGGAAAGTAAAATAGTTGCTGTTGGCACTGGGAACAGGGGCTGCATGTACATGCTGTGTCAAGCAACTGCACTGAATTCGGGTAGGAAATTTCTCCATTCGGGAGTGCACCAAAAAGAACAGCTTTTAACCTCTGTCAGTGAAGGATTTGCAGTTTCACAGAAACTGAAGCTTCATAGTACATTGAAGGGACATGTCCTTGTCTTTTAGTAAATCTCTGCAGCAGTTTTTATTAGTTATCATCGGGACTTATATGCTTCTACTTTGATGGTTCTCACATGGCCCAGCTTAGGTAGTACAAGAATGAAGCTAAGGCATTTCAATCATTCCTGTACAAAGGATTATAAGCTTAAGAAGTGCAAGCTCAAGGAATTTGCCTCCAGTATCCCGAAGCCAAGAGAATCACAATCAGGCAGCCTTGGTTTTATCTCATTCCGGAAGGCGTTTGAGTAGGTTTTTTTAATGTAATAGAACTTGTTACTGGAAACATTTCTCTTATACAAATTCTATTCCAAAAGCTTCCACGTGTTAAACAGGGGTTTCTAAACTACCTTACCTTATCAGTAAGAGGCTAATGGAGAAAACACATTGTGATACCAAGGACAATCCTAAACAAGCAGCAAGCGGAGAGATTCCTGCTTTCTTATTGATAATTTATTTGGGAGTTAGAGATCCTAAAATCTGGTATTCCATACGGTGTGCCGTAAGGCCTAGAAAGCTGCCAAAGGCTAAAAAATTCAACAAAAAAAAAGTGGGGTAATGATCTCTGCAGGACTGAATTGTATCAGGTATCTTGGATTTATGGGCAGTTGTGAACCTACGATGTACTGATGGAGGAGGTAGCAGAGAGAAGTCTGAATGGAGTTATTTATAGCAGCATGAAGCAGACTGGCAATAGAGTGACAGGGAAGCCCTACAAAGCAGCTCTGGAGAGGCTGTTCTGATCCACAAGCAATTAGTAGTCCTAAATTGTGGGACCAAGTATTATTGCAGGCAGAGTAGCACAGAAATGGGAATGCAGTGTGGGAAGAAGACCTACTTACCTGCATAGAGGATCCTGCCACCAGCATGGAGTCTGATTCCGTCAGGCGTTGGTGCACAAACCTCACTTTTTCCTGGCTCACTGTGTCTCCAAAGAATGTCACGTCGGGCTTCAGGATTCCACCACATTTACGGCAGGCTGGGACTTGGAAATTACGCACCTGCTCATCTGTCAGGAAGACATCCCCATCTGGAGCCACACCGAATGCTTCAGCTTTCCAGGTAGGATTCAGAGCTTCAAAGTGCTCCTGAAGCTCAGAGCGCAAGATTTGGTCTCCGCAGGCCAGGCAGAAAACCCTGCAGTTCAGAGCAAAGTCTTAATGGAGAGTTTCATGTCAGCTGAAGATCTGGAGTCTGTGACTTCTTCCTTAGAAGGCCTGGAAGGCCTGTCATCATTATCCACATTTATTTACCAAATAGTACAGGTCAAGGTCTGTCTTTCTACCTCCAGTTGTTGCTTTGTAGGAATGCTCTAGAGGAATCACTTTGAACCCTACCGTGCATCCTCTCTCCCAGTTCCGGTTGTGCCTTTTCATCTGGAAACTTTGGGTGATCACAGCCAGGCTGCAGTGGCCCTTCTCCAGTCCACTCATCCTGGGCATTTCTGGCACTATCCACTCTGCTTAGCCCTGGATAATCCTTGCATCCTCAGGATCCCCTTGTCCTCTTCACTAAGAGGACATTTGCTGTAGCAAGGAAAGGGGAAATTCTGACTGATGCAGGCTCCAAGGGAAATGATCCAAATAATGCTCAAAAAAACGGAGTGGTCTTCATGTTTCTTAAATACTGTGCTGTGAACAGCACTGTTTGGTGACCTTTTTCTCTACCCCAGCCCAACACCACCTTTGAGCATGTCATCTCCAGGAACCCAAATTCAACGTTTTGCCTCCTTTCTCAGCAGCTAACACTCTACCTGCTCATCAGTCACTCTGAACAAGAGACCAGAGGATCAACCACCCTCCCTCTGCCAACAGAGAGTACCTGTGTGTGCAGCCATGCAATTCTGTCATGCGCTGGCTCCCGGCTTTGGTGTGAAGGGCATCCACATTCTGGGTCACCAGCCAGTGCAGCTTCCCCAGCTTCTCCCAGTCTCTTAGTACCAGATGTGCTGTGTTTGGCTGGTGGGAGGAGAACTGGGGCCAGCCCACAAAGTTCCTTGCCCAGTACCGCTGCCGGGCACTGGCACTACGAACAAATTCAGCGTGCTGGATGGGCCGTCTGTCTGTCCTGGCATAGAGCCCGACACCTTCAGAACGGTAATCTGGGATCCCTGATTCAGTCGAGATTCCAGCGCCAGTCATTACAAACAGCCTCTTGGAGTTAGAAACGAAGCGCTGCAGCTCCTCTACTTCCACAGGATCTGGGGGAAGACAGGCTGGCACGAAAGCCAAGTTTGGAGAGGTTCTGGATACAGAATGGGATCTGAAATGATGGAATCTAGTGGCTCTGCAAACTCCAGACAACTTCCTGGCAGAGAACATGTTCAGCTAAAAGCCAAGAACAGAACACATGGCAGGTAAAAGAAAGCAAACCGCATGTCCTTAATTCCATTTTCCTGGGATTCTCTGGAAGATGATGCTGATAAGTATTCTTTGCTCATTTTAATAAAGAAATACAAATTATTTTGGAAATGTTAACTAAAGCCCACTGTCGGAGGACAGCATTTGCGTGGCAACACTGAGGACTGCTCAAGGTATAAGGACAAAGTTAGCACCTTTGACTTGCAGGATTCCTGCTTTTCTGTGCTGGTGTGAAGGACAGCTGCCTAAGAAGACTTGTAAAGAGCCCAGAAAGACCTGAGCATGTGGAGTCTTTCCCCAGGTATGTGCAACAGGATAAAGAAGAAATGTCAGGAAGGTGAAGCACCCCACCCCAGAGGTGCTGTCTGGGTGGTTCCTCCACAGGAGACCCTTGCCCTGCTTTCTTTAAGATTCTGCCTGCTCCAAATCAGTCCTTTCTATTTACCCCATCCTTTGCACATGTTGTGGGAAGAGAGAGAAAAACAACCTTGAAATGTTGCTTTTTCAGGACAAAGGCCTTGACTGGAGTTACTCTTCTTTTTTTATAAAGGCCTGGTGCAGAACGGGCCTTGAAATGGGACTGAAGATGATCAGGACACCGCCTAAATGCCTCTGGCACTTCCTCCTTTGTGGGTGCCATCTCCCTGTAGTCAGTGGAGAGGTGGAGGGGTACTGCTTTGCTTCTCCAGCAGAAACAGGGGGCTTTGAGAGAGGAGGGGTCACACAAATGGGGGGGCGAGGTGTGGAAACAACTGCCTGGCAGGTAGGAATGGGATGGAAATCCTGCCCTAAGGGAGAAATGGCATGCCCTGTTGGAGGCAGGCAGGATGGCTTTGCTGACAAGAAGCCCGGAATTGTGTGCAGGACCTGTTGTGACAGGAGTGGATTGGTTTGGAACTTGATTTTGTTTGGTCCTTCTGGCAGTCTGCAGTTCTCCTTTCTCCATTTCACTATTCTAAACCCATTTTTTTTCTGGGCCTTTTTATGGTTTTGCATACAAAGTACAAAAAGTTTTGAAGGAAACCATACTGAGAATTGACTGTCTGGTATTTCTGCCTCCCACTGTCTCCCTTAGCAAGGGGGCTTGTATGAGATCTGGAAGATGGAGGAAGGACTTTAATTACTGATAAGAGGGGATGGTCTCTAAAGAGTGATTGCAACAGGCCCCAGATAGTCTGGTGCTTAAAGCTTGCTTGGTAGTGTGGGATGTTCACTCACGCTTCTGCCCTCACCATCGCAACTTACTGGGAGGACACCTGAGGGACTGGGTCTCACTGGGAGAGAGAGGTCTGCTGGAGCAGATCCCTTTCAGGTGTTACAGGCAGTGGTTTGAAGGAGGGCTCTGGGCAGCTTGTGAGCTGTCAAATGGTTAAAGCACGTGGGCAGTTTCATAAATGCTGCCCACAGGAAACTTGCAGTGCCTGTGAGATCTGTGGCAGCTCTGAGGAAGTCAGAGGTATTCAAGTGGTGAGCTTACTTGTATACAAGGCTGGCACCTAAGTATATATATTGATGACCTGTGCTTCAGTGCCCAGATGGTTTTTAGACTCCTGTTGGCGTCTAAATTGCTTTGCCTGAAGTCCCCAGTTCCCGACAAGTACCAGTTCTTACAGTAAATGGGGCAATATTTAAATACATTTAAAGTTTGGGTGTTCACCTCTAAGTATCATGATACTAAATCGATGCTAGTGGCAAAGAGTAGATTTGTGTCAGTTAATCTCCAGTTCTCAAGGCTTTGTGTCATCATCAGTTGAACTACAGGGAAGACTGGACTTTCTCCATAGTCTGAATTACTTTTTAAATCTATGCAGTGGAATCTGTTTGCAATGATTTTTGCCTTGTTTTGTTGTTTGCAGGAGTTGTTGGGCATTTCCTCTGAAGAGGTTTAATTTTCTATATGAATTAATTAGAAGGGACAAAGTCTCCCAATAAGCTGTAATTTGCTTTGAGAATAACTTCTGTCATGATGCTCCCCAAAGGCTGTTAAGCCAGCTAGACTGTATTTAAATTGCTTTAACTGATGAAAATTCTCCATTCCTGTCCCTTATCATCAAAAGATCTCTCGGAAGGAAATGTTCCGAGGGGGAATGAAATGGAGATATAATATGGGCTGGCCCACAAGAGGGAGAAGGCAATGGCAGGCCCAGCAGCAAAACATAAGATACATTTGAGAGCTGCTGTCAAGCGTAGAAGTAGGACAGTGTAGGAGAGAAACTCACAAAGGACAGAATATTTCCTGTGAAATACAAAGCAGCTTTTAAAATTAAAGTGCTCAGATTAAAAATTAACAACTACTATACATAAGAAGTGAAATTCTTTAAACGTACCGATCGAGGTCCGCGGCTTGAGTTTGTTTTTAACGTGCATCCAGGATGCTCCACAGAAAGAGATCAGACAAGTTTACGGTAGAAGATAAACAGGTTTCTACAACTGGTTACGGGCCAGGAATTCAGAGGAACGGCCACGTCATCCGAGTCTCTTTTGCTGTAATAATAACGGAGGGGGGTGGCTAACGGCCGCACCGAACACATCTAATGAAGTAAGAGCGATAGGGTGAGTAACGCCTGAAAACGTACCCTTCGGAACGCTGCCGTCCTGGGCCGCAGGAGGAAGGGGCTGGGCTGCCGGCAGAGGATTTTTCTGGGAGATGTAGTTCACAAAGGCATTCAGCCCTGAGCAGAGACTACAATTCCCATGCTTCAAAGAAAAAAAAAAAAAACAACCAACCTCCGAGTTCCTGACACCTGATAAAGTCAATTTGAAAACGCTAAGACCTTCATAGCTGCCCTCAAGGAGACATACTAGAGTAAAATCAAATAGCTTTGATTAAATGCATTGTAGATGCTTGTCCTTATAAAAAATGTGCTTTCTTTTCACTGACACTTAACAGGCTTTAAGCTTAAAACGTGACTGAATAAATAATGGAAGAAAAATCCACTAAGGGCTGTTAAAGACATCTCTTCCGACTCAGGAATTCCCCACGATGTAAATTGTTGGAGGCTATGAGAGTACACTGGGCTGATACTTTTGCCCTCTTCTGGCACTCTTCCTTTGGTACCTGCATTTGGCCCCAGGAGCGATGGACCTGTCTGGTAGTCCTGATGGTCATAGTTAAGCACGTTTGGGATGACGGGAAAAAAGTTTGGAAGATAGATGTGGAAAAGGCCCGTGGCAACAAGGATGGACGAATAACAAAAATCTGGTCTGATGTGCTGCAGTTAGTGTGGCTGGACCAAACCCAAGAGGTCAGCACGGGACAAGTGATCTCTGTTCAGCTTTCAGAGGAGGCATGGATGAAAAATGAGAGGGCAGTTGTTTCTTTGATCTGGCTGGACCTCTCCCAGGGCATAGTTGGACACCCTAAGCCACTTCAGGATTAAATTCTTTGCCCCCAAAGGGCTTGTAGCAGTCGTGTAGCTCACCAGCTCCTTCCTGGGCTCAGTCTATCGTTTGCTTTCCCCATTATGGCTCTGCTGGAGGTGGGTTTCTGCTGGCTTGGTGAGCTGACTCGGTGAAACCTGACAGCTGGCGGAAGGGGAACAGGGAGCGCTGCGGTGGAGGGACCACCTTTCTGCAGGAATGAGCTCTTGGATCAGCACAACCCATCTTTGCAGAACTGCACCCATGGCTCCCACCCCTCAGCACCTCTTTAGCGGGAGGGATTTCTCCCAGCGTTTCCCAGTTGATCCAGCAGATCGTCATTCCTAAGCGGGCAGGGGTGGCTTCTTGTGGTGACTTCTTGGAGTCCTTGTGTGAGCGTGGCCCGTGGTGCTTTGCCGGGGCTGTTGGACCATGCCAGAGCTGACACCACGCAGCTAGT